TTTACTGTTTTTAATATATATATATGTCAGGCAAGGATTTACATTTTCCATTCTAGATTCCTTATGGTGCGCTTTTGCCTGGTCCTGTCTTTTTTCTTTACTTCAGCCATGGAAAAACAGGTCAGTCTACTGACAAACAACAAAAGAGATTATTTTTAGTAGATTCGAACAAAATTTTCTCTTAACTTTGGGTTGTAAGAGCTGTCAGAGGAACATGGCAGGAAGTCCTGCATAATTTAAAACTGTGCTGCGCGACTCTGGCCCATCTTGAATGATTGTGCAATGAAACTGTGAGATTTATTCCTCCTGAGGGGATCACTAATCATTACAGAGGCTTTTGGGGGGCGCGGATCTTCACTGACCACATCCTCTAAATAGAAGCTGCTTCAGAGGATTCTCACATACACATACACACACTCACACACACCTGAATGTGCAATACACATGCATTTTTCTTGCAGTTTTTCCTCTGCAGTGAAGCACTGTCTTGGGAGGATGTGCGGAAGCGATCACACATTTCCTCTGTTTCTTCCTCCCCTCCTTCCCTGCAGTTTCTTCCCTGGAAAAGGGAGCTGAAATCAGACAGTTCTGTGCAGACAGAAAGTGGAGTAAATTTGCAGGTTGTCTTGAGACAGTTGTGTAGAGATGGATATGTCTAGGGTAATGAAAAAAAGAAGAACTGCAGGCTTGCTTTATTGTGTTGTGTCAAGGTCCAGTGGCTTGATGGAGTCCAGTCATCCTGAGCTTCTGAACTGCTGTGTGACTAAAGGCTAAATTTTTAAAGATTTATTCCAGTAACTGGTCGTTTTTGACTAAAAGAAATTAGCAGAGATTTTCTTTTTTTTTTTTTTTTTTTTCTTTTTTTTATTTATTTATTTATTTATTTATTTTTATGTTAGCAGTCTCCTGTTCTAAACAGGAGAGAGATTATGCATGATTTATTTTTAGATTTTATTTTAGTTTAGGTTAGTTTATCAATAATCAATGGTGTAAAGTAACAAACTACAAGTACTCAAATTACTGTAATAGTGTAGTTTTTTTTGTAATTTACTAAGTAATTTTCAAAGTGTGTAATTTTACTTTCCCTTGAGTTCATTTTTATTGCAGTATTGGTACTTTCACTCCACTACTTTCCTTCAATCTGCAGTCACTACTTATTTTTTCTTGTCTATGGGGTTAAAAAATTCAGTCCTGTGATTTCTGTCCAATCAAATCAAACATAGAAGTAAAGAGGTATTTATAATCTTACATCTTACAATTTATAATTGCAGCAAACTTTTTGGAAGCATTAAAAGTGTTCAAGAAGATGTACAAATTTTTTAATACGCATTGATCTAGAGACTAGGCGACGCAGTGGCGCAGTAGGTAGTGCTGTTGCCTTACAGCAAGAAGGTCGCTGGTTAGAGCCTCGGCTGGGTCAGTTGGCATTTCTGTGAGGAGTTTGCATGTTCTCCCTGCGTTTCCTCTGTGTGCTACGGTTTCCTCCACAGTCCAAAGACATGCGGTACAGGTGAATTGGGTAGGCTAATTTGTCCGTAGTGTATGAGTATAGATGTTTCCCAGAGATGTGTTGCGGCTAGAAGGACATGCGTTGCGTAAAACATGTGCTGGATAAGTTGATGATTCATTCCGCTGTGGCGACCCCGGATTAATAAAGGGACTAAGCCGAAAAGAAAATGAATGAATGACCCAGAGACTGTTTAGATGTATGCCACTGATGAGAAGAAGACGGATATTTACTGTATGATGACCGAATTGGCCTTAAACAACCAGCAGACACATGACGTCAGATTGAAGTTGTACCCCTATATTGGTGATGTTGCATTTTGTTTTGAAATGCAAATCAGGTTGACGTCACTCAACGTCAGGCCAATGTCCAACTCCCAACCTAAAATCGACCAAATATCAACGTCTAATGATGTTACAGCTTGACGTTGTGTGGATGTTACCACTATGACATCTGTCAGACGTTGGATTTTGGTTGCCATACCTGATAAATAAATATCAGTATTTGAAATCAATGTGACATTGGTTTAAAATGTTGGTTCAATGTTGAATTTTGGTAACTTTCTATGAACTAAATATCAATGTCATTTGACGTCGTTATTGGACATCAAAATAATATTGTCCTTAAAGGCTGGCTAGATATTGAATTTTGGTCACCTGACATCACAACCTAAATCTAACCTAATATTAACATCTTATGATGTTATGAACAGCTACATGCACTACAGAATGTTATGTTCACACACATCCACAAATTACACCTAAATGCATCAGCTTTTTACTGCGTAATACTCACTACTCACTAGTCTTGACAAGACTTTACAAGATTATTCATACTTAATGTTAGTAAATGCATTAACTAACATTAATTAATGGACTATTATTTTAAAGTGTTACCGAAATAATTGTTACAGATATTTTATGTGGTCATTCAAAAAAGCATCTGCTATGGAAGAATTTATTCATGTCATGAATAGTATTTTAACATGCTATGATATATCTAAAAGACAAGACACCACATTTGATGTTATGCCAATTTATTAATGTCAAACAAAATAGATGATTAACTACTCCCATAAGACCTTGACTCTTTTATTTTGTAGAATAGAAGTCAGCAATAAGTTTATGTTTTAGGTTTTTTTGTTTACTCTTTTTATTTATGCTATGAAAATGATCTAAATATGCTTTTCCGTGGCTTGTGGTTGCATAGCTGAGCTGTGTGAAGGGTCATGAAGCTTTGATGTCAGAGTGAAATGTTGCCTCGGTAAACAATAACACCATACAGATGGACCACAGCACTGAAGCAAAGCCTGCAAGCCACGCTTTAATTCTGCAGCCGTCTCATAGATCTGACCTGCACACCTCCGGCGATCCATCAAACCCCCCACAAAACACTCGCTCTGGGTGCCAAACATCTCCAGCCTCTTTATGTACTTCTCCAACTTTATCTGAATCAAACTTTGAGGCCGAATGCTCCAAAACTGTTGCACCATCCAAACAAATGCGCATCTCTTTATCAAAAAGTCAAACTGACAAACTACTTAAAAATGTCTCCATCTATCACTGTGAGCAGAGCTGCAGAATGATGAAGCGGAGCTGCTTTTTCTTCTGGTTTCTTTAGTTAACTGTCAGTCTGAGATGTAAGCATTCATCCTGTTCGGTAGGCCAGACTTCTCCACCATCTGTCTCTCTTTCTCTCGTTTCCTCTCTCCGTTTTACCCCTAGAGAGTCCTCGCCTGAATGAAGTCACCGAGTGTGAGTGCTCGAGCTCACGTTACTTAACAAGCTATTTTTTTGGAGGCCGAAATTAAACAAAATGGCACGGTTCTGTTTAAATAGCACGCACGCGCATGTGTCTTGAAGAATAAATCCCCTACTGTGTTTATTTTAGCAAACGTCACTGGTGCAAATGGACCAATGCAGTGTGCTTTTATTAGCAGCTCTAATATCATAATTAGGTTTATACACATGGCTTATTTTCATAGTGATTACTAGCAAAGCAATAATAGTGCATGTAATGTTGGAAAGCAAGCTCCAGGTCAGCAGAACTGTGGGTCTTAACCCCATCATGGGTGTGTATGGAATTATTCCTGCGCCGGCCGGTCCACCTCACAGGCCACTCACCTCTCCAGTCTTTGTTTGGCTGACAGACCAGCCAGAGTATAGGCCCACCATTGTGCGTCCCTGGACCCTGCATGCTTTACCGCTATTTTCTTTGGGAAGCAGGAAATTGGATGACTGGCTACCTGCTACAACAACATCCTGCACTTGAGAAGTCATCTTTTCACTCCTACCCACCTATTATTCTCCACAGCAATACACCGGCAGTCACTCTCCAGACTTCTGGTGCGACTGAGTGGCCCCCACGTGGGCCGTTCAGTCTGAGTTCTGGTCGAAATCAATTTTCAGGCCCATCCAGATGCTTCCGTCAAAATTCTGCGGCCAAAAGTAGATCTGATCCCTAACACTGCACTTTTATGAAACCATTCGGAAGGAATATCATAACATTTAAAGGGATAGACATTAAAATGTTACTCACTCACATCCTAGACAGGTGATTTGTTTTTCTCTGGTAGAACTGAAACAGCTACAGGTACTTTGAGAGTCACTTAAAACTAAATTAATACATGTAACTAATTTGCTGAGGCTGTGGATTAAAGGAAATGTGGTAATAAATATAAGTAAGTTTGACCTTATATGACCTCATTGTATCATCAGGAGCCACATATTAATTTAGTTTTGCCTGTGTATGTATTTTCAACCTTCAAAATGCTGGTATCTGTGTCTGACTTGATTTTGTGAATCACAAAGGATGACGATTTCAGCCCAAAAACAAACTGCATTGTGTATTACCTGAGGTTGAGTGAAGTACGGGTTCACCTTATTTGGGTGAATTATCCCTTAAAGGCACTGATCAAATAATCAGATAATGCATTATCACTTTTCAAACATTTCATAACAAAAATGGCAATTAAAACATTTAATTGGCAGCAGCCAGCACAGACATGAATAACACAGTGATCTGACTAAAGCCCATCAAAGCATTTTTTTGCGGTTGGTTGGCATGTATGTGTGACATAGACTGTTTTAAAAGGACGAACATCACATCTCTACTTCCACTGTAGAAAAGTGAAAATATCCATTTATTTATCTAAACTGCATAAAAAAATCCCTTAACATTGATTGTTAATGAACAGTTCAATGCAAACTCAAACTATTTCACAAGCATATTTAATCCAGTTTTAATAATTTTCAATAAATTTGCTGTTGACTTTTAGTGAAATAGTTTTAGTTTAGTGATTTAGTTCAAATATAATAAAGAGCAAAAGTGACTTTAGATAGACAGACAGTTTTGTGTATGTGTGTGTGCATGCATGGAATTTAGGGGTGTGTTGAGATGCTTACTCCATGATGAAACGAGACTCGTGATTGAAATTGAGTTCAAGAGAACAAGATGAGATTTTTACACATTGAATCTTCAATAATGAAATATATAACTGGAAAATATATAACCGTCTTTTATTTAGGCTTGATTTGAGGTTTGAATCTAATCCTACCGCCAATCTTCAATGCTAAATTCACTCTTATGGTTCATCATGACATCACAACTCAAGAGACTTTTCACCTTGACGAGAAATCTTGTCATATGAGATCTCATCACACCCTTATTCATTCTTTTTTTTTCTTTTCGGCGTAGTCCCTTTATTAATCAGGGGTCACCACAATGAAATAAATCAGCAACTTATCCAGCATATGTTTTACGCAGTGAATGCCCATCCAGCCGCAACCCAACACTGGGAAACACTTATACACACTCACTCACACACATACACTATATACAATTTATTCACATTCATTTACATACAGTAGGTGAGGTTTTTGACCTATACTGCAGCCAGCCTCCATGGACTAATTCAGGCTTCACTTTTTAGATGGTGCAGTGTAAATTCACCATAAATGATAACAGAATTTGCATTGTGCAAACATAGTTTAAATATCACATAGTTTAAAAGCACACACAAGTGATTTGAGCTAACAAAGTTTACATTATTATCATTTACTTTCCCATAATTTTACCTTCACACCAGTTCAGTATAACAGTGTTTGTTTTCCAGTTTAAATAAAAGCAGAAATCTTTTCTTTAAATCAGTTTTTAAAAAATTTATTTTTTTCTCATTTTATGCAACATCTCTGCTTTATTAGTTTTATATAAAAAAAAGAGAAGTACAAAATTGGAAGAAATTCAAGAAAGCTTTTTTTTTTCTAACCTGAAAACACAATTTAGGCTAAAAATAAAGACACAATATCGATGCTCTAGTGGTTTGGTGTGATCCTGAAACCGTCCGTCTGTTTGTAGAGCTTCACAGGTGGTTCTGATCAGGCTTCAGGCACCACCACCACAGTGTAAAAGACCTACATCATGCCGTCATGGCTGGAGGTCAAAGCTATTAAACCAGGGCTTGAACAGTTAATATAAATTGTTTTTACACGTGAGTAATTGAGTTTTTATAGGCCTCTGATTTCACTCGATCTGTTTATGAATGAAAGTGAAACATGTGGACTGAAAGTGGATGGTGCTTCCAAGCTGTTGAAACTCTGTTGATAATTAGTCATCTGAGTGAAGAGAGCAACAGGAAGCACGGACGCTTTTGTCCACGAAGCAGTGAAACAGGATACGTGGAAGGACAAGTGAAAAATTGGACACTGCATTTGGCCGGGGTGACTGTAAATATGAGCAAATGTCTAGATTGGGTTTTCACTCAGAGCTGGGCGAAGCGGCCGAGTCCAGCTCATCTGCTTCAAGGTCGTGAGGAGATGCGGGCTGTCCTCCTTTCACTCTCTTCCACTTCATCCGTCTGTTTTGAAACCACACTTTCACCTGTGAATGAAAAAGATGATGCATTAAAACTGTCTGGAAATGATTTCGAGAATAAATGTGCACTCTCTTGAGTGATTTGAAATCATTCTGCGGCCAACAAATCAAGAGATTTGTGACATTATTTCTGACGGCTAGGCTCTGAGGAAAGCAAGTCTGTGACCCCTGTGCATCCCTTTCTCCCCGTGGAAACACAGGAACATGGACCATCTGTTCCCACACTATTTTTACATGCTCCTTGACTGAATCGGTCTGCCACTCATTTTGAAAGCAAAGGGTGGCAGGCGGCCAAAATATGTAGGATGCATCGGAAAAAATGGAGAAAGAGTTGCAATGGGATTCGGGAGAAGCCCAGAGTTGTGCTGGGATCTGGCATGTGCTTGGGACTCAGGCCTGGGAAAACCATCAAGGACCAAGCTAAGTGTGGTCTGAGCTTAACTTAAAATAAAAAAAAAACAGACTAGTCCAAAATCTCTGAAGGGCGAAGTCAAGGATTGATGGGATGATGGCTCTGCATTGGTATTGTCAATCATATTTCACACAGACTCATTTAGACTTGACGGATGAGTGTTTTCTTGGCAGTTTTCAGACTAAAATACCACTTGAATGAGTGGAAGCATCTATTGTACCTGTCTCTCAGTGAGGTCAAGGTTGACTGCGATCTCGTAGCGGCGAAGACGAGTCAAGTAGTTGTGGTGGGTGAACTCGGCTTCCAGCTCTCGGAGTTGCTCTTTGGTAAAAGCCGTTCGTTCCTTTCTAGCCTTGCAGTTCGAGTCTGCCTTGAAGCTCGAGTCCTGAATATCTAGAGGATGCAAAGGAAAGTCATATGAACATTAAAATTAAAATTTTGTGGAAGACAACGACAATAATGTTATTTAAAAGTGTACAGCCAATAGGAATCAGTGTTGCTTAAAACCCTATACTTACTGTACCTGAACTGACAAAAACAGTTTATTCAAAATATATTTTCTTCTCCACTCATAAAAAAAAATCAAATAAATATGAAGACATGCAGATTTGGAATGACATGACTTTTCGACTATTCCTATAAAAAAGAATAAACTCAATGGAACCGCTGAAGTTTGGATCCCCCAGGAGCTGCGTGTGCTTTCATGCATGTTAAGTTTAAAACTCTGTCTGCATTAAAACACGGTTACAAGGCGTTTTGTGGGCCACACAGGGCACACATTTGCACAGGGCTCAGTTCAGATCACAGGGTGTTTGAGCCCCAGTTAAAGCATGCTGAGAGTTTGGGGGTTGTCGGGCCCACAGCTGACCACAGAGGACTCAACTTAGGAAGGAATGCACCGGAACATTGTTAAATCCGCTAACAAAAGAACAAAGACTTGGATCAGCCTGGCTGAATTCGTGTCCTATAGATTTTCGTTCAAAACGCACTCCCGTAATTGTATGTAAAAATGATTGATGGTTGAAAATATGAAAATTACTCACTATTTACTCCCCCTTAAGTAGTTATAAACCAGTTTCGTTGTTCTGTTAAACACTGAAGATTATACTTTGAAAAAAAACCTAACCATTGGCTTTTGCTGGAAAAACAAATGAAAGTCAATGGATCCAGCTTTCTTCAAAATATCTTCATTTGTGTTTAACAGAAGAAAGAACTTATAGAAGTTTAAAACAAGTAAAGAGTGAGTAAATGGTGACAGAATTTTCATTTTTGGGTGAACCACCCCTTTAAGTCTAATTAGTTATTCCAACCTTGTGACCCACTTGTGTGCTATATATAAATTAGAACAGGTAGCACTGAAAGAGAGCTGATGCAAATACTGTCAACTTTAATTTCTCGTGACTTTAATTTGTCAGTGTGTGAATTCATGTTCCTGGCGAGACTATGAAATGGACAGGACTGCCAGATGTGAGTGGGAAAGTGAGACAAGTATTTTCTCACATATGGCAACCTGTAGCCTCTGTTCCTTTTAGAAAGCGCATTATTATCGTCATTAAAGTCCTGTTCATTTAAATGCACTGCTGAGGGTAGTAAATGGAAAGGTGGTGGCAGGTTCGGGAGAAACACCTGGCACTGTGTGTATGTGCGTGCTCCAAAAAAACAGACTCCAATAAATTTCCCCAGCAAAAGCCCATAAACATTTAAGCAGCGACCTTTCTCCCCGATGGGGTGTCTGGTGGGCATTTGGCTTTTTTTTTTTGTAGAAGGCGCTAAAGTCATTTGTCTACATGAAGTCAAAATTAGTCGTCAAGCGTCATTTTATGTTTTATGTAAACTTTTTTTGTTTCTAAAAATGGTCAGGATGCAGTATATGAAGCTTAAATCCACACATTTGACAGAGGAGCAGTAATAAGACTGTATAATTTTACTTCCCTAAACTGAAGCAAACCTGTGATGAAGGAAAGAAAAAATGATGAGCACATCCTTCGTGATTCAGAATTCATTTAGAGTGAATTTCACATCTGTTTACAATTTCAAGCAATCATTGAGCGTCTGCTTGTCATTTCAGGTAAAAAAACACAAAATAAAATGAAGTAAAAACATAATCACTACCAGATTTGATTATCATATTCTGCCAAAACATTTGCACCTTGTATTGTTCCATCATTTACACATCATACAGCTTCTCTACAAGTAAGGCACACAGAAAACCTGAGCCACAGTGATGAATATTTTCACGATGGTGAATTTCTCTCCAGTCAAATAGAGAGTGTGTTCGGTGGAGATCCTGTTACTGCTTAACGACAGGAAAATGTCAATGGATAAGAATGTAGAAGTGGGATCGCAGGCAAGTTATATTACAGACGTGGTCTGGCTTGTTTCGACCGCAAGTGATGTAGGGTTACATTAAGGTAACTTCGAGAAGGAAAGGGTATATTTATTCCCCACATTAGACTATAAGGCCTGGATGCATTGTTATAGTAGAGGGCCTGATGATGTATTCGAACTAATCATTTTTACATGCCGCTCATAACCTATATATTGTCCTGCTGTTTTAGCCAATTCAATCGAAAGCACAATTGGGGAAAGTTATTTATCTTTAAGAAATTTTTCCTGATCCCAGAAAAGCAAAGTGTCTCAGTTTCCACAGCAGGGCTGAGAGATTAAATTAATGCACCAGATGTGCCACAAACACTGAGGTTCACTTTTCCTTCTCCTGGAATAACGTGAAATTGAAAATATGGCTAGTGTTCATTATTAAAATGATGTAGACTTAATCAAATCTTCATAATCAGCCAGACACTGTAAGACTTGTCGGAAACTACATTTAAGATAGTAAAATTAGTGAATAGGAAGTTTCAGTCTTGAAATCTTTGTTGTGGTGGCTTAAACTAGTTTGATACAGAGAGTACAGTGACATTAAGGTAATTATAATAAAAATAAAAACTTTAAGATCAATAATTTCTGTACATTTCTGATACTAGAAACAGAAGATGCTGGCATGAATTTCTATTTAGATGAATCTTCAAATTTTTATTTATATCAATAATACATATTACACATAGAACTCCAGCTCAAATACATTCATCACCATTAAATCTGATCATTAACATTTCTGATCTTCGATAATCAAAATAAATGTTGTAGAAAATCCGATTTGGGTTGAGAAAATGGCACAGATATTACAGAACGCCAAAAAGGTGATTTAAAAACAATAGCAAACACTTTAAAGTTGAACTTTACCTAAGAGCCTCTAACAATGGAAGGAAGCAACAGCAGAATAATATGCAGAAAACAATATGTTAAGGGTCATCCTTCTAGTGCACGCTTGCTGTGAGGAGTTTTAAATAGAATACCTGTAATAAAAGTCTATTACTTATTTAAAGACACTTAATTCTATTCAGTTCTATCATCACTTACCCTCATATCATTCAACAGCTTTATTATTATTATTATTATTATTATTATTATTATTATTATTATTATTATTATATATACCATTATTAGTATTATTATTATTATTATCATTATTATTAATTCATTAATTCATTTTCTTTTCAGCTTAGTCCCTTTATTAATTAGGGGTCAACACAGCGAAATGAATCACCAACTCACCCAGCACATGTTTTACACAGTGGATGCCCTTAAAACTATTATTATTATTTTATTATTATTATTATTATTATTATTATTATTATTATTATTATTGTGAAACACAAATACTTAAAATTAAAATCACTAGGACCCCATTGACTTTAAATATATAGAGAAATATTAATGACTGATAGAATTGAATGCTCTGCAGAAAAAAAAATATCATTCAGGTTTGAAATGACATCAATCTTTTTGAATAAACATTGACCATTCTCACTATAACCTCAGCAAGGATGTTCTCAACCAGATCTACTCAAACCAACTAATGTTATTTTTGATATCAAGTAACTTGCACATTTCTCAAAAAAAAAAAAAACAACCACATGACTATGACTGAATACCTCCAGTCATCATATCTCATTTGTTCTTGCCTACAGTGACTCACCTGTGACTTCTCTTTTCCGCTTGGAGCTTTTTTTTTCAGTGTCGACTGCAGGCACACTTTGAGGTGAATAGTCTCCCTCGAGACACCCAGTGACTGCTCCAGCCAGCCTGTCTCCCCCTGCACTGTCCATTTCAGCTCCCACTGCCTCAGCCGCCCCCTGGCAGGGCTCTTGCCCTCTGCCTCTGGGCTCGCATGGAGAGAACTGCCACTCTGTCCTCTGGTACCCGCTGTGCGTCTCCGGATAGAGTCTGTCCTCCCGAGGGTACGCATGTGGCGCTGGCACCAGGCAGGAGCTGGAGAAGTCTGTGTAGGCCAGGAAGTCATGCTTCTGGTGCAGAGCAAACGGGGCCTGCTGGTAAGGCTGAATCCCGGCTCCGGAGCCACCCGAATGAGGACTCCTGACGCATCCCCATAAAGCGCCACCCGTATGAGGGCTCCGCATGCAACTGCTGGCTGACTGTTCCATACTGAAGAATTAGTGGAGTCCTCAAGGATGCAGCTTGTTGGGAAATATCCACTTCAGCATGTGCCTCCTTTGCAGAACAACTAGGAAATCAAAGACCTTCCTGATGCGGCCTTTCCTTGGCATAACACATCAGCTCTCAGTCTCTCATTTGGTGTGCAGGCTGACCCACTACATCCACTCGCAGCTCTACACACTCTTTTCACAGCTCGGAGACATTCCTGACAAGCGATCCCTCCTCCTTTTTAAACGCTTAGGTGGGAAAGAGTAGCAAGTTTATGGAGTGTAACGTGAGCTTGCAGAGGAGGAGTCCTGGGTTCCACATGTTGGTGCCCCCCAAAACCCAGCCCTGCCTCATATACTATTAATCATGGGGGATTTTATATGCACATCTAATGGGATTTCCAGGTGCTGGCTTTTTAAAGGAACATTGTCTGTAAAATATCAAATGAACACCCACACAGGAAAGTTGACCGGATTCTCTTTTTCTGCATCTATATCCCCAGAACACTTATTTTCAATGTTTTTTTTTTTTTTTTTGGTGGGAATTTGCTCATTTTTGGTTGTGCCTTTCTTTTACGCTGGTGCTCTGCGGTTTGTGTTATGGATGTGTGGAGTGGAGTTTCTCTCACACTTGTTAGAAAGGCCTGATTTAAGTAGTGATTTCTTCCACACCTCTTGCGCACACAAGCTCTATAGGGGAACAAACACACAAACATGCTCTGATTTGTTTTGACACCAGATTAGTTTAAATACTCATTAGCATCTTAATTGATTAAATAATTCATAAGAAATATGTCTTATTTTAAAAATGCACATTTAAAACCTGCATAATAAAGTAATAGGCTAACAAATGTATACCAACAATTACAGTGTTGCACATACACTGTAAAACCCAAAAAGAAAAGGTAACTCAAATTATTTGAGGAAACTGATTGCAACAAACCCTAAGTTCAAAAACTAATACTAATTTGAGTAAATTAAGCAATTTGAGCACAGTAAAACCCAATAAATGAAGAGAACTCAAACAAACCGAGTACTGTAAAACCCAATCAATTAAGTCAAACCATTTGCCAATGCCAAACTCAAACCATTTGAGGAAACAGATTGCAACAAACCATTTGAGTTAATAAACTAATCTATATGAGTATTGTGAACTTGCTCCATTAAAGTTGAAGTAATGAGGTATTTAATTAACTCATTACCTTCAACACTGAGTTCAAAACTTTTCAAATAAGTACAATTGACTCAGTAAATTGACTATACTCATTTCATTTGATGAAGTTGACTGTTGGGTTTTACAGTGTAGCAGTGTGTTGTGTACAGCTTTATTATATATTTTATAAAATGTAGTTTGAATGAATGTACAGTTTGGGGTTAGTCATTTATATTTTTAATTTATTAACTTGTATTTATTTGTATTTTCTTAATATAAATCTATGAGTTGTTTTATTCTCTCCCCGGAAACTTGCTTGAAAATACAGTGAAATCAGTACAATTGTGAGATATTACAATTTAAAATAGCACTTTTGTATTTTTTTCTGTAATTGATTGACTATAATAGACTAATTTTAGAATCTTTAGAATTATTTGATGAACAAAGTTCAAAACAGCATTGTTTAGCTCATTTCAAAAACAAACACTGCTGCACTGTAAAACCCAGTAAGTTAGAGGAACTCAAACCGTTTGAGGAAATCGATTGCAACAAACCATTTAAGTAAAAAAAAAACTAATCCTAATGAGTACCTTGAAGTTAATTCACTTGAGTAAACAAAGCAATATGAGCACTGTAAAAGCCAATAAATGAAGAGAACTCAAACCAATTACATTCTGTAAAACCCAATAAGTTAAGGCAACTCAAACCGTTTGAGGAAACCGATTGCTACAAACCATTTGAGTTTAAAATCTAATATATATGAGTACTATGAACTTACTCAAACGGAAGTAATGATATAATTAATAGTGTTGATTGAGCATTAATGATGTACGCCTGCTGTTAACAAGCACAATCACTTAAGAGAAACACAAAACAACTGTTGTATATTATTAATGCTCAATCAACACATACTAAACCACTTATTGAACTCATTGCCTTCAACACAGCTCAAAACTCTTTTCAAATGAGTAGTATTAACTTTCAGTAAATTTTGAGTTAACTACACTCATTTCATTTTTTAAAGTTGACTGTTGGGTTTTAACTCATGTTATGAACCAATTTCCAAAAATATTGTTATTGCAATGACACAGTTTTTTTTTAATAATACATAGTTCAATTAATGCTCAATTTCTTTCAAAACAAATATTACTGTTTTATATTCGAATTTCTAGGAAAAGTTATAGTTATTTAAATTGTTTTGAAAAATAGAAAGTTGAAAAGAACAACATTACTTGAAATTGAAATGATTGGTAACACTATAATAGATTTCTTTCAAAAACATTTTGCAAAATAAATCTATGATTATATTATATTATATTATATTATATTATATTATTCATTTTCTTTTTATATTATATTATATTATATTATATTATATTATATTATATTATATTATATTATATTATATTATATTATATTATATTATATTATATTATATTATATATTTTTTGGCTTAGTCCCTTTATTAATCCGGGGTTCTGCCACAGCAGAATGAACTGCCAACTTTTCCAGCATGTTTTTACGCTGGGATGCCCTTCCAGCCACAAACCTTCTCTGGGTAATATCCACACTCACTCACTCATTCACACTCATACACTACGGACAATTTAGCCTACCCAATTCACCCGCTGCACATGTCACCACATGACTGCTACGAGTGTGATATTGCATTTATACAACAGTTTGACGGCATAATTGTATATATAAAAACAAAATCAAACACAGGGAGTCTCAAAAACCCTTTTGTATGAGGAACTTCTTTCTTCCGGATTCAAATCATAAGCTGACAGTTAAACAGCTTAGCAATCATCTTTTAAAGATTCTAACGCCCCTTTAGATCTGAAGTGTCTGCTTGTTTCTGGCTGTATGTGGGCAGAGTAATAAACAAAGGCTAAAGAGGCTGTACGGGTGCTGATATTACTTAAATAGATCCTGGCTCTTAGCCAATCAGATTCGAGAACCGGAAAGAACTGTTGTATAAATTATATTATATTATATTATATTATATTATATTATATTATATTATATTATATTATATTATATTATATTATATTATATTATATTATATTATATTCATTTTCTTTTCGGCTTAGTCCCCCTATCAACCTGGGGTCGCACAGTGGAATGAACCGCCAACCTATCCTGCATAAGGTGTACGCAGCGGATGCCTTTCCAGCTGCAACCCTTCACTGGGAAACATCCATACACACCCATACACAACGGACAATTTAGCCCACTCAATTCCCCTATACTGCATGTCTTTGGACTGGATGAACATGAGGAGAACATGCAAACTCCAAACAGAAATGCCAATTGACCCAGCTGATGCTCGAACCAGTGACCATCTTGCTGTGAGGTGAACATGTTCCAGTTTCCCTCACAGTCCAAAGACATGTGCTATAGGTGAATTGAATAAACTAAATTGGCCGTAGTGTATGTGTGTGAATGTCAGAGTGTATGTGTGTGAATGTCAGTGTGTATGGTTGTTTCTCAGTACTGGGAATTATATATTACATTATATTATATTATATTATATTATATTATATTATATTATATTATATTATATTATATTATATTATATTATATTATATTATATTATATTAATACAAATTTTGCAACACTATCACTTAATAAATCAATTTATTGAATAAATCAATTAATCATAATTTGAGATTCGAATGGGAAAATATTATTATCAGAAATATGTGTCTTTGTGTGTGCATGTTGGTTTCTTCTAAATACACACTGACGAAGATATTCCTCCTATCCATGTTCCGTATTGTTAGCAATCATGCAGTCTGTAATTATATTATATTGGTGTTCCAAACATGAAGTCATTTCTCCTGCATTTTAGCCATGTGTTTGCTCTGGCAAGTTCTCTGTTGAGCAGAATTCACTTGCCATGTCAAAGTGGTTGAGGTTGGAATCTCTCTCTATTTCTTTCTGCCTGTATAACAAGTGATGGAAAGCAAACATGTTCAGTTGCATTTATAAGAACTGCGGTCTGCGGTTATTTTAATAGTCGCTTCACTTTGTCCTCCGTGTGATCCTGACTTTCTCCAACAGCACAGCCTTCACCTCGACTAAAGCTGCGTAATGTTTAAAGGCTCTGAGGTAAGACTGCAATCCTTTCCCTTTACCAAGCAAATAGCTGAGCCATGAAGCATCCACTTCTTTACTGGCAATCTGGGCCCTAGCGTGACCACAGGGGGCCGAGGTTAGGCAGCATTTGCGTTTAGACAGGACCATCTGTGTCAGAGTTGTGTGTGTTTTTTTTCTCTGTGTGTGTCAGTAAATGCACATTTTGGATCTTGAAGTAGTCATTGCTCCCAGGTTAAACCTGTTGCCGTCAGTCGCTCGGGGCAGGTTGGGGGGCAAAGAGGGTGTTTTTGTGTTTTCATTTGATCCATCTTCATGACACCACAGAGAATAAGAAGGATGAAAGAGAGTCCTGTAACAGAGCGCCGGCTCAGGCCAGACTCGGGTCACGGAGCTGTGGGAGAACAGAGGAGATTCAGACCCTGCTGCTGTACACTTCATTTACTGCTTCCGCCAAACTGTGAGACACACGCTCACACACAACCAAAACACACATTCGCATGTTCACACACACACACACACATATATGGTGCTGAACTTTAGTTTGAACTGAGATGATCGAGCACAATGATTGACAGGAAATGTGATCATATATTTTCTATAGAGTGCTTGCAAAAACTGCCTTAATTGTGTCAAAGGTTTTCCAGATGCAATTAGATTGTAGTCATAACTTTATCTTATTTGTAATTTTTTACTTATATGTAATGCTTTATAATTTTTTAAACAAAAAAACAACTAATCTGATGCTGTAATTTTTTCTTTTATTTTTTATTACTGATGACGCTTGATGTGACTAAACTTCATAGCACGTGTGGACAAATTGTGTTGCAGGAAAAGCTAAATCATGCTGCTCTCTAGTGGTAGAATGAGAGCAGTTTAATGCTTTGAAGAACTGAAGTTGGCCCATCGTAACCTTTGATTTGGCCCACCATCCCATCAGAGATGAGAGTGAGAATGATGGAGAGGACTGGGGT